AAAACGAGAACAATCTCTCCTCTTCAAAAAAGCCAGAGTAGGTAAACAGATTTGTACAGCCTGCCAAGCGATATCCTTATGGCAATTAAACAAGAAATCATCATTCTTCCAAACCATAATACATTCGGATTCAAAAAGATGTCCTACAGGAATCATCTTAAATAAAGATGGGGATAGCTTTTCCTCTAATAACTGTTTATTTTAACTCCCAATCTGAAGGTTAGACCAAGATGTACGGCATTCTGCTGTTGTTCTTGCATTATCATTCTAACTCTCAAATCCTCAAAAGTAAATCAAGTCATCTAAATCTTTAAAGGGAAGTCTTTGGTCCCTGGGTGAACCACCTTCTTGATCATGTGTTTCCCCTGCCAGATAAATAAACAAAAGCCACAGTAATGCTTTGTTATTGAATAAGAAAATAACTGTATCTACTCAGGCTTTTAGACATGAACACTTATCATATGATCCTCAACAGTGGTGACAATAATTATTCATACTGCAGTGCATGATGGGAGTTTTTTCTAACAAAAAAGCCTTTTGTTGATTGTCACCATTGCTGAGATCATATGCTGGTTCTAGATGTCTGTGTGTGTCTAGGTAGCATTGGAGATCAAATTTTTATATGCTCTACAAAGATTTAAATTTCAGTCATAGTAACTATTAGAGCAGCTCTTTGTTTCACAGGATTGATCATGCAAAACCTAAACGCATAACATTTTTAGATTGTAATCATCTCATCATACAATAACAGCTAGTAGCTGCTCACTGCGTAGCACTAATCTCACTGTCACATCATCACATGTATTGCTATAAAGAAAGACCTAACACAGTAGTCAAGGGTCAAGAGCCCAACTAAAGCAAACACTGATCTCCATGATGGTGACATCATTTTAACCAATAAAACATCAACTTCTGATCCTCTGTAATTCTCAATAACAGCAGGTGTTCATCACTAATGCACAATCATCATTTAATTAGTCACTTAACGTGCACACATCTGAATATTTGGCTTGAACCAAACCAAACCATTCGGCAACCACATGTGACGACCCCGGGCTAGACTCTGCTTCGTCCACTGTGAACGCTGATCCGGCGAGCCACACCGTGAAGTTGATGTATTTCCTCAGCGACGAAGCGGATGTTGGTCTCTTTTGGAAGGCCAAACAAAGTAGTTTCGCTTTCACAATGAAACAAACAGCGTCTCCACGACGCGGGGGCAACAAAACTACAGCGAGAATAAAAGTTATGCCTTCTTTCTTTGCGTGAACATTTTGGGCAGCGTTATGCAAATCTTCCCACATAGTGAGGTAGATATGTGGGGGCGTGTTAGAACGAGCCGTTTTAGGGGGCGTGGTTGACTCTTAACTTTTATAAAGAATATTTCTTTGAATTTGAGACTTTAGTCTTTGCAACTTTACAGATCTTCTTTATGCACCAAGAGCTTGTAACACTCCAAAGAGAAAGGAACATTTTTAAATTGCATCATATGACCCATATAAAGCAACTGAAGAAAAGATGACGATGGATGAGGTTGATGTTCACAAAGTATTATCTACTGATCATCTGGTGATTATAAAAGGAAGAATGTTCAGAATTCATAAAGATAGTGTCACACATTCTTCAAGAATGAACATTTGTCTCTTTTAACATGGCAGTGTTTAATTTTCATTTTTATTATGATTATAGCATTAATTAATGAATAAACAACATGATTATAGCATTAATTTATGAATAAATAACAAATAAATAAAACTTATACCTTGCAATATATGTCACTCTGGATAAAAGCATCTGCCAAACGTGCAAAAGTAAATCTGCAAATATAAATCCTCACTAATAGTGCTGATAGTATTGTGATGAAGCTCTAGCACTAAGTGTTAAAGTTCAGTGTGTGCATTGTCTTGCAGCATTTGTGCTTTAGATGTGAATGATTCCTCAAATAAAGTGTGATGTTGAGGAGAGTGTGCTGTTAGTTTACTAAGTGATCAGATACAGCATTTCACCTGCTGGACCAGTAAACAGCTGAAAAAATCCCACAGATGCCCACTGAAGGAGGAACCTGAGCAACATCTACCAACCAGATGATCACAGAGAGGTGAGGGGAACTTTATACACAAGCCATCACCTACGTAGCAACCACTCAGAACACCTTAGCAAGTGCCTATAAACAACAGTCACAACCACTAAAACACCATGGTAATCACATGTTTTTTTGTTTTTTTTGTGGAAGATGATGCTGAAGGTCATAACATACATATTTATGTTAAATTTAGTTAATATCAATCTCACTTTCTATTGTCTGTCACTCTGGTTATCAACACTGCATTATCTTACCTGTGGAATTCTTATGGTCTCAATCAGGTCTTGCATATATAGGAGCTGTGTCTAGACCAGCCTTTTTCCCCACCATCACAGAATCCTTTGACTTTTACACATACGGTCATGTGCTCCAGGCAGTACTTCCTCCTCACAGAGGTGGGTGACAGTGCCAAGCAGACACCATTTGGACCCTGGGTGTGGCCTGGGTGTCCATCAAACTGCAGTGGCTGAAGAATGAGATTTGTAGTTTTGTACCAACATTTTTTTATTATTATTCTTGAAGTGGTCTGCCAAATAAAAAAAACAAAACCAAAAAAGACTACCACGGCTGTACAGAACTGACTGTATAACAGCACAAAAGAGAACTAGAAAACAACCTAAACTTTTAAAAATACCACACCAAAAAGATAAAACCTTTCATGGAATTTGCAGTTTGAAAGTCACGATTTTCATACTGTGTCACTTAAGCACACTTTAGCAATTCACTTAATAGCTGTAGTATGTGCTTCACAAAAGGGTTAGTGCAGTAGTAGTCTCAACAGGTTATTCTCTGCCTCACACAATGTGCCCATGTTGTAATAGATGGTTTTAACTACAGTTAGGGCATCTTAAGCACTTAAGGTGACTGACGGGAAAAGCTACTAATATACCTTATTAAATAAATCTACTTTGAGTAATTTAAGTTTGTGTGTTTTTACACTCTGTGTGTTTAGTCACCTAAACTATCTTAAAGCAAAACCGCTCTGATAATGTAATGCTGCTTTGTGCCACTAGAGAATGACCTTTTTTTTTTTTTTCAAATGCCTGGAACTGAAAGTAAAAGAGAATGAAGGAAACCATTCCAAGGCATAAAACTGTTAACACTGAACATTTAAACGGCTGCATATTCTGTGGTAAGTTCAGAACTTATTATTCATATAAACATGCTGCGAATATAAGCTTTTGTTTTATTTTTCTTCCTTACAAGCAATTTCAAACCCGGATGATTATATTTTTGTGCAATTTTTGGTTAACTTCTTATATGTCAGTATAATTGCTTATAATCTTAGGTCATCAGATCTGACCAAAATAACAGAAACATTGACAATTAAATTAAGTAAATTATTTTTGCCATTTACTGATTATATATAATTTATATATAATATTGAAAGACTATAAAAAGTCTATACACTGAAAATATATAATTGATTTTTGTGTATAATTGATTGGTTTTAACTATAATACAAATGTGATCAGTTTGACTCGGTACAAAAGCAGTGCTGAATACTCTGCTTCTACTCCATCCAAGTGACTAAATTAGTGTTAAACTACTAGTACTAAAAGCTATTGTAAATTACTAAACATATTACTTTGACAAACTGTGTCCAGACTTACAGTTCCTAACACTGCTGTATCAGACATAAACTCTGAATAAACATTAAGAAACTAGTATATGAATGTGCTGTGTATATAAAAAAAATCAACATCTTCAAAAATCTATACTTTAATCAACAACTCACAATGTTTGAAATGAACTAATAACTGAACTGTGTAATAATATAAATATTGTTATTCATTTATTCATACACACACATATATATATATATATATATATGCCCTCTAGTCAGTGTATTACATAAAATACTGACAGCAAGTATATATTAATTATTAAAAATGAATAAAAACAAACACAAAATAAGTTCCTGTGAAGTATCTTAACAATCCTGTATGATATCCTCATCACCCATCATTATGTATGAGTGTTTTGCTGTTATTGAGTAACAATTCCTCTTTGCAGATGATGTGGTTTTGGCATTTTGGTGTGATTGAGTGTCAGTTCCTCTCTTCAGATGATGTGCCTTTGGCATGTGACTGTCTGTCTTGCAGAAATTATACTTTAAAGGCACAGTCTCTTTCATTTCAGTAGAAGCATTTATTTTATGATGACCAAAGCACAAGGAGGCAGGCACAAGGAACTTTGATCCACAAATAATCATTTCAGCATGAACGGAAAGTTAATACATCTTTTAAACAACCATATTTGTTTATGCTAAAATAAAATACAGAGTTCTGGCCTGAAACTCTAGATGGCACAGTCCGATAGGTCTAATTCATTCTGAACTAATGACATCATTATCACATGGCACAGCTGATTGGTTCTCTCCTGTATCGGTAGCCAATGAGCTCGCTTCTCAGCATTCAAATATATGACTAGGGCTTACCGTAGCAGTTGCTTCAGAAACCCTCCACCTTCCCCAGCTCCACCTGTATAGATATGCTACGAGGTGATTCATGTATGCCATAAGGGGGTTATTTCATGTGTGTTATATTTGCAGCAGCAATATTTCTTACATGCTCACTGCAGCATTTTGTGGATTTATTGGCAGTAGCAAGTCTCAGTACTTGCTCTGCCGCAGCAGCAGCAGCGTAGCGGATCTATTCCGCCTAGACCAAATACATTAACATTGTCATGTGCCATGCCAATCCCTCCCAGAGTTGTCATGACAGAACTAGTATTAATTTATCAAATTATGAAGAAGGTAATTAGATTGGTATGTCATTTAAATTAAGAATTTAATGTGGCTGTACTTCAGTTTAAAAAAAATACTATGGATTTAAGCAACTTCACAGTATTACAAAAACTTTTAACCTCTGATTCCCAATAAAAGGTCCAAAATTAATCTCTCAACATTATTTTTAAGACTGTGAAGACAGTGACTTTAAAATGAGTCTCCATAATGTGAGAGAACATGAGGGCACTGCCTCTAAAATGGGTTCTCCATCTCCTGGATCAAGCTGTATGTCTGCAAAGAGTAATGCATCCATGAAGAATGATCCTCCTAAATTCAGTGATGGAACATTTACCTCTGACCCCAGGTAAGACACTAGCCATTTTAACATTTGGCAGAGTTTTTACCTGAAGTGAAGTCCTATTTCAAGTAAAATCTAAAGAATTTTCTGTGAACATTTGACTGATTCCTGTCTCTAGGGTCGGCAAACGCGCCGACATGTTTTGTGTTATTTTCCTAATAACGCTAAAAAGAACGCAGATGACTCTGTCATTTCTTATCGTACAGATAAGAGCAATACATCATTTGAATCTAAAAGGGTCTACCTTTATTTTTATAGCCTCATAATAACAAAACAATGTGCTTTTGTAAAATAAAAAAACACACAGGGTGCACTTTCTGCTGTCTCTTCAGAAGTTCAATCAATATATATATATATATTATTATAATTTTTTTTTTTTTTGTGAATGAGTGAGCAGGATGATTTTCATATGATTTTATAGCAAAAAGTCTAGTCTACCACATCCAGTTCTTAAGTCTTGTGATAAAAATTTACTGCATGTATTCTATGGCCTCATTTCAGTGACTTAATTATTTATTTATTTTCACTAACCACGCATATATGTTGTTTTCTCGAAAACACTGCAGGTGTTTTGAGTTGATTAGCTGATTGGCATGTCACCATATTCTAATTTGTTGAGATAGCGAATTGGTGGGTTTTTGTTAAATGTGAGCCAAAATCATCACAATTAAAAGAACAAAATACTTAAACTACTTCAGTCTGTGTGCATTGAATTTATTTAATACACGAGTTTCACAATTTGAGTTGAAAACTGAAATAAATTAACTTTTCCACGACATTCTAATTTATTGAGATGCACCTGTACATTAATGTTGCTTACATATTACTGTAACTCAGTTTGTGCTGAATACAGTGTAATCAGACTTTGGCCATTTACATGTTTTTAAGATATACTGATAAAAAGCACAAATGTCAAAGTGCAAACATGTCAAAACTTATCCAGGTCCTCAACAGCCCCTCAGACCCCAGAGGCTTAAAGAAGCTCTGTCTCTCTCTCTAATCAAATATTAGTAGTAGTACAAATGAGAATATAAGTATCTGTACTTTTTCTCTGCAATCTGTATAATATTTATTACATTAATATCTATTATGTACACATCTGAACAATCTTCAGATGTCTACAGCACTTCTCTTGTCACAGGAATTTGTTTTTGTTATTTCTTATTTGTAAATTAATCAATGTAAATCTGAAGTTCATTTAAGCTATGCAACATGTATGGATACGATGTTGTTTTGTTTGTTTTTGGCAGCATTAGCAGAAGACAGGGATCAGAGTCTTCAGAAACCTGTTCTGTGTCTGTGAAGAGTAACAGATCTATGTCTCAACCCACTAACTTCAGCGATGCACCAGTGCCCTCTGAACTCAGGGTAGATGACACACAAGTAGCCGTCATGGGCCAACCAGTGAATGATCACCTTCAGAGAGGCAAAAACAAGCACAAAAACAGCATGAAGAACAAGTATGGGAGATTATTTGAGGGAATCAAATGCCAAGAGAATGAAACCCTCCTGAACAGGATCTACACACAGCTCTACATCATAGAGGGAGAGAGAGAAGGAGTGAATGAAGAACATGAGGTTTTACAGATGGAGAACACAACTAGAACACAACACTCACAAGACACTCCAATCCACTGCAATGACATCTTTAAAGCCTCAGCTGAAGCAGGATCTGAGGAGAAAGAGCAGATCAAGACTGTTCTTACTAAAGGCATCGCTGGAATTGGAAAAACCGTCTCTGTGCAGAAGTTCATTCTGGACTGGGCCGAGGGAAAAGCCAATCAGGATGTAGATTTCATGTTTGTGCTTCCATTTCGAGAGTTGAACTTGATCCAAGATCATCAGTACAGTCTTCACAGACTTATGCTGGACTTTCATCCTGAACTTCAAGATCTGGACTCACAGATTTATGAGGAGTGTAAAGTTGTGTTCATCTTTGATGGTCTGGATGAAAGCAGAATCCCACTGATGTTTTCAGATGCTCAGAAAGTTTGTGATGTGACTGAAACTTCATCAGTGGATGTGTTGATGTCAAAGCTCATGAAAGGAGAGCTGCTTCCCTCTGCTCTCATCTGGATAACCTCCAGACCAGCAGCAGCCAATCAGATCCCCTCCAAATACATCAACCGTCTGACAGAAATTGATGGATTCACTGAGCCTCAGAAGGAGGAATATTTCAGGAAGAGAATCAGTGACCAGCATCAAGCCAGCAGAATCATCTCACACATCAGAAGAACAAGAAGCCTCCACATCATGTGCCACATCCCTGTCTTCTGCTGGATCTCATCCACTGTGCTTCAGAAGCTCCTGGAAAAAGATCTGAGTGCGGAAATCCCTCAAACTCTGACTGAAATGTACATCCACTTCCTGCTGATTCAGATCAACATGAGGAACCAGAAGTATGAAGAGAGAGATCCAGAGAAACACCTGCAGTCCAACAGAGAAGTGATTGTGAAACTTGCTGAAGTGGCTTTCAAACAGCTGATGAAGGGCAATGTGATGTTCTATGAGGAGGACCTGATTGAGAGCGGCATAGACGTCACTGATGCCTCAGTGTATTCAGGAATTTGCACAGAAATGTTTAAGGAGGAATGGGTGTTTCATCAGAGGAAAGTCTACAGCTTCATTCATCTGAGCATTCAGGAGTTTCTCGCAGCTTTTCATGTGTTTGATTTTTATGTAAGAACAACTATGGAGGGACTAAAAAATTTTGTTTCAGTACAAAATTTGCTTAAAGGTGCAGTGGATAAAGCCCTTGAGAGTGAAACTGGACACCTGGATCATCTCTTGCGGTTCCTGCTGGGCGTCTCACTGGAGTCCAATCAGAGACTCTTACAGGATATATTGACACACACAGAGAACAGCTCAGAGAGCATCAGGAGAACCACACAATACATTACTGAGAAGATCAAAGATGGACATGGACTCTCCACTGAAAGATCCATCAATCTGTTCCGCTGTCTGCTGGAAGTGAAAGATCAGACTCTGTCCAGAGAGATTCAGGCGTTTGTGAAATCAGACAAACACTCAGAGAAGAAACTCTCTGCCGCTCACTGCTCAACAATCGCCTACATGCTTCAGATGTCAGAGGAGCCGCTGGATGAGCTGGACCTCAAGAAATACAACACATCAGATGAGGGTAGAAGAAGACTAAAAATAGCTGTGATGAACTGCACAAAAGCCTAGTGAGTGTTAAATTAGTGATAAAATATTTAAAAAGATTTACAATATCTAAAAATCACATGGCATTTGTATGCTTCACTTGTCCTTGGCTGATACACTCATAAAAAAATTGTAACATCCTCTTTCCTTGTATTTTTTTCCCATAGTTTTGCTGGCTGTAATCTCACTGCTCTGGATTGTGAAATTGTGTCATCAGCTCTTCAATCCTCAAACTCTGTCCTGAGAGAGCTGGATTTTAGCAACAATGACCTGCAGGATTCAGGAGTGAAGCTGCTCTCTGATGGACTGAAGAGTCAAAATTGTCAGCTGGAGATACTGAGGTGTGTAAAAACATGTTGACACAATTAAATGTACTCTATCTCCAGACTTATGCCAGAGGAGAAAAATGAGCATCAGGCGAGAAAATGCTTATTATTATTATTGTTATTATTTGCAATCTCTACCAGGCGTGCCATTCCTCGTCCTCTCATGGACCTTTTAGGGATTCATGCTAATGCCCTTTTTAGCACTAGCACATCCAGCTTAACACTGGAGGATGACAGCAGAATGCGAAGTGGGACACTAATGGTGATACAATCAGTTCCATACTCATTCTCCTCGTTTCAGGGGTGTGCTCTCCACCACAGTGAAGCTAGAGCAGATTCCATTGTTAACGCTGAAGCTAGGGGCCATAGAATATGTTTCCCTTTCCCTTCCGCCTTCACAGCCATTATTTTCTGGTCCCCAAGAGGGATGAGGGGTTGCATCCAATTCTAGATCTGCTCAACATCGAAATGTCGTTCTCGTTTGCTTAAGGAGCTTGCATCTGAGTTTGAACCAGAAGAAAAGTGTGTTTTCTTCAAGTCAGACTACCACTGGTGTTATGGGATTTGACCACAATGTGTATCCAGCATGAGTGGAGTCAATTATTGCTGCTGTGGGCAGCATAAGTTAATTTGGCAGAGGTACGGCCGAACCTAAATAGACTTTTTCGCCTCAGCCAGGTTGACCCACTGTCTCCTCTGTTTTTCCCTCACATCTCCAGCTCTATTAGGGATGGATGCCATGGGGCAGACGTGGTCATGGTATCCTGTTTCTTGTGTGGTGCCAGATGACTGAGACCTATTTGCAGACTGCAAGTTCCTTCCTATTAGAGTCCTACACAGGCCTCAAATCTAGGGCCTAGCCCGGCCCTGGCCCGAGACGCTCAGGCCCTAGCCCGGCCCTTGTCCAACAGCTTACCAGAATTCTTGGCCCAAATCCAACTGGAGCCTATGTCTTTTTTCTCTCTCTCTCTCTCTCTCTCTCGCTTCCCCATTACACAGTATGCTGTTGCAGCCATTAAAATAGTTCAGTTTTGTTTTTAGTGCCAAAGTGGTTATATTCCATTTAATTTCTTTATTAACTTTGGAGCATTTTTGTTTCTTAAATTCAAGTTTTTGTTTCTTAAAGTGACGACCAAGCAGCCAGTGGCAGACAGAGAGTTGATCATGTTTCATCAATGTATCCTTCTCAAATCAACAAAAATTACCTATAATAAAATCTATAAATCATTCAACACTTCAAGCATATCACAATGTTAGTTCAAACATTTAACCTAGCTAAATGTGAGCTGTTAGGAACATAATAACTGTTTATGTAGAATTATTAACTTAATTAATAATGCAAATATCTCCTTACTATTTCCCTCTCAACACATTCATGGTAATTACTCAAATATAAAAATAAGTAGAAGCCCTGACAAAACTGGCCCGTGTCTGAGTTATGTTGTGAAAATTGGCCCGAAGCCCAACCCTAGGGGCGTAAATAAGTTGGGCCCCTTCTGGCTTGGGCTGAAATGCAGGGCTCTACTACCTAGGACCTTGCCATAGTCTTGGACAGCTTATTGGATGCTCCTGTTGAGTCCTTGAGAAGTTTCTAACTCTCAAGGTAGCTCTGTTATTGGTGATTGCATTGCTCAAGAGAGTAGGAAACATGTAGACCCTTTCAGTGGCTGCATCCTGCACTAAGGTGTCTTCTTTGCCATGTCATTCTTCAGGCTTTCTTCTGTCTGACTTGCCAGAGAAAGAGATTATCCAGTCAGGGCCCTTAGGATTTCCATTCACTATTCAGGCCAGTAGTTTAAATCTGATCAAATCTTCATCTGCTTTGGTGGATGCGACTGATGTTTTGCTGCCAACAAGCAAACATTATTGTATTCGGTTACTAATGCAATATATTTTGCAGTATTGCTTTACCTCAAGGTATCAGAACCCTCATGCCCATCATGTGATTTCCTCAGAGGTGCTATCCAAGGCTCTGTCTTTGTCAGATGTTTGTACTGTGGTAGGCTGGTTCTCTCCAAACAAATCCATTAGGGCTAAGCCATTAATCAAAATTTAATCGCAATCGCGATTTGAGACGTTGCTATTTGCTAATCGCAAAGCCTCTGATTTGGACACAATATCACAATATCACTCTGTTGCAGAGCAAATGCATGGCTGCCCACCTTGAGTGGCAGCCTTACTAACCAATTGAGTGAGTGCACCTTCGTTCTCCCCAATCAGCACTGCTATGTAAATGCCCACCATAAAAAAAACAAACATAAAAAACCCACAAAATATAATCAGAAAGTGAGATAGAGAGCGAGAGAGAGAGAGAA